GCACGAGTATAAATGGTTACTTTACGAACCATTCTTTATTAATCATTAACCGTAAAACGGTTAATTCAAAAAAAAAATTTATTGATAAAAAAATTTTTCGATCTGACCAATTTTAATTGGTCGATATAATGTGACACACAATATCTCCTAAAATCTGCGAAAATCTGCTATTTTTGAATTTCTGCTTTTAGTATAACATTCGGCAAAATCTGCGGCTTTCTGCTTAAAGCCGGAAATCATCGTCCCTGAATACAGCCAACTTTTAATATAACGAATCCTAAAGTCAAGAAACATCAATTACAAATTAGTAATTATTAATTGTTAATAATCATCAATTTCTGGATTTAACCAATAATATTTCTGGAAATTTCGACCAATCATTAAGAAGGATACTCCGATCAATATATTTAAAAAAACGCGTATAAGATATGTAAGTACGTTCTGTAAAGTTTCTTTTTATCCACTGATAAATTTTCCTTGTCATATATAGCTTATCCTATTCTACCAGAAATTTTACGTAAAGTTCAAAACGCCGAATACTGGGAAAGGCCATATTAACAATGGGGTAATTTCGTGGGATCGGTTTTTCTTTGATAAGGCTACAAATGATAATACTATACAAGCGACAAAGCGTAAATCTCGTCGAGCTTTGGCTGTCGAATTAGGCATTTTAATAAAGAATATAAACACGGAGTCGAGGGAAAGGAAGAAATTATTAGCACTACAACGTCAATTGAATGTGAGTATTTTTTACATTTTTTTAAGGATGTGGAAATATATATTGAATGTGCTACGCCCTGTATCTACGTTTTACGGGGAAGAAGAGCGTCCAGACTGTGAATTTAGTCTCACCTCTGCGACGTGCACAAATAGTGAGTGTGCTACGCCCTGTACTCTACGTCTACGGGGAAGAAGAGCGTCCAGACTGTGAGATTTTGTCTCACCTCTGCGACGTGCACATCTTGCTACAAGTTTCTTTGATTAAGGTCTGCTGATTCTGGAGGAGGAATCAGCTATGTACCTTCCTTATGTATAACAAAGGATATTGTTCACTTATTCACACATTACTTACTACATAGGAAACCGGAGAAAACCAAAAACACAAACAAAATGTCACAGAGACGAAGAAAATGTGAAGTCCGATTAAGAAGAATATATTTACTGACTTCGAAGATAATTATGTTGAAATTGATTAATTAATGTCTTTTCTCTTTAGGCGATGAAATCGTCTAGGATTGGAAATAGACGATCGATAGATTATTCCTAAAAATTCGGACTTTGTGGAAAATTATGAGTCAAAAAAAAAGGTAAACAGTCCATTCTCTTTTAATTAATGATGATATTTAAACCACTGAATTTCTATTCTAAAACTTTTGTGTTTAAAGTTACCAAAAAGAACCATCAACACTGCTTCTTATACAGTTCCGATGATGAGACTGAGGAATAAGAACAAAAAATTGAAATTGCAAATAGGATCACAATCCGAATTATATATTTAAAATTTTTTTATCATAATTAAAGGCGAAAATATGGCTTTATAAAATTCTTTTAAGCTTTAATTGTTTTATTTATTCGACTCTGCTCTTGTTGCTTTTTAAATTTATAGTATTTAATAGAGTGTGTAGAAATATTATGAATATAATAAATATTATTTTGCCAAACAAATTCTTTAAATTATCCGGTGCATATTTCGATTTAAGATGAGCATTATAGTTACGTCACTTATGTTGGATTAAATAGGGTTAGGATTAAATATACATTAATCAGTATCACTTTGACTGCAAGCAATGTTTTCAATTGGGATCATCATACTGCATAATTACAGTATATTAGCATATACATCTCGATTGTTTTGAAAAAAAGCTTTCCAAAGTGTTAGATTTTCAAATTAAGTATTTGAAAAAAATATCACTTTTGATTTCATTGTTTAGAATTTTTAATAAATAAATATATATTTTTTAAGTAGATTTTTTCGAAATTGTATATTCAATAACAATAAATTTAATAAAGTTGTTTTTTTTTTCATCTTTAAAACATGCCTGACACCGATTTTTTCCATACGAATAATAAAAATTATTCTTTTGATTTTGAAGATTTCATTAAAACAGAAATAGGTTTAGGTATTAACAGTGACTCAGGTAATAAAAATATTATCTATATATATATATATTTCATAATATTTAAAAAAATATCTTTGCTTTGTAACATTTTAGATCAAATTTGTCAAGATTTTTTACGAGGAACATGTACGAAAGGCATGAAATGTGAATTCAAGCATACTACAAATTTTCGAGAAAAAGCCGTAGTATGCAAACATTGGTTACGTGGACTTTGTAAAAAAGGGGACCAATGTGAATTTTTGCATGAATTTAATATGAGAAAAATGCCCGAGTGTTGGTTTTATTCTAGATATGGTGAATGTAGTAATGAAGATTGTATGTACTTACATATCGATCCGGAAAGTAAGATAAAAGAATGTGCTTGGTACGCGAGAGGATTCTGTAAACACGGTAAAATTATGAGAATTATGAGAAATTTCGTTCAAATTTTTTTCACATAAATATGATCTATCTATCTATATATAATTAAATTTTTTTTTTTCGTTTATTAATACATCTTTAGGACCACATTGCAGACATAAACATGTACGAAAAGTTGTGTGTCAATTGTACTTGAGTGGGTTCTGTCCAAAAGGATCAGATTGTCCCAACGGACAGTAAGTGGAATTTAAATACAAGAAGTTATCATCGATCCTTTTTTTTTGGAATCTAATTTTGCTCTTCAATCTCTTTATTAGCCCAAAGTATGAATTGCCCACAGTACAACGAGATCATGATGGACTTGAAGATGAAGGAATTCAAAGGCATTTAATGGAAAATGAAGAAGTAACACATACTTTTCTAAATGAAATGTTATTAATACAACTAATTCATTTAATAAAATCAATGTCATTTTTTCTTTATTGATAAAGCATCAAAGAGGGGGACAACAACATCAACAAACACCGCCATTACAACAACTACAACAACAACATCCACAACAGATGCACCAACAGCATCAACAACATCAACATCAACATCAACACCAACACCAACACCAACATCAGCAGCATCAACATCAACATCAACATCAACACCAACAACAACAACACCACAATTATCGATCTCTGTCTGAAGTAACTTGTTTTAAGGTATGTTAAGAACAAATTAATTGAATTAATTGAATTAATTTATAAATAACCTATTAATAAATTTTTTTTTTGAAATTTTTCAGTGTGGAGACAAAGGACATTTTGCAAATAGGTGTCCAAGAGGACAAGGAAATCGTTATTAGAAAAATGGATAAAAAATATTATTTTATTTAAGCAAATCATGCAAAAGTTTTCGCGTAAATCCAGGGTATATTCATTTGCCCAATCGTAGGTAAATTAATGATGATGAAAACTTTTGTTTTAATTATTAGTGATGTTAATAAATTAGTGTATATATTATTAGATTATAACTGAATAGAAATTTTTTTGTTACTACAATAATCTACAACTACAAATTAAAACAAGTAATGATAGATTAATGAATTTGATTAATTAATGTTTTTCCCTTTTTTTGTTAATTTTTTTGGAATAAAAGCCTTTTCAATTCAAAGTTATTATGCCACTACTTCTACCTCTAACTACAGCTTCAGCATAACTAGGTAATTGTTCATCGTCTAGATCTCTTGGCCTATAAGTATTCATGTCATTCATTGAAACGTTAATGTTTCCGTCATCATTTAGTTGAGTTAACCCTCTGTTTTCAATTCCTCCTTTAGCTTTCTCTCCTCTTCTTAACCAAATTATGATAATTAATAAACCACTTAAGATAATTATTAGTCCAACGGTACCTAATAAAGCAGCTAATAAAATATTCGTTGAACCCGCCGAAGAAGTATTAGAATTATCAGAAGTATTAATTACCGCATCATTAACAATAGATGTTGTAATGGCTGTTGTAGTTATAGTATTTGTTTCCGTTATTGTTGCTGTAGGATTTCCGTTTTGTGCTTCTGGAAATTGTTCTTTAGGCACATCTTTTGGTATTTGTGGAGGTTCTTCCCCCTCAGGTTTTCCTTCTATAGATGTAGGTGAAATAGCTGTGGTTTTTTCACCTCCTACTACCTGTCGTTTTTTTTCCATATTTATATGACATTACTTATTCTCAATTCTTAGCTTATATAATTTCTATGAAAATTTATTAAAATTTATAAAGGAATTATAAAAACATACTACTTTTAAAGAAAGATAAATAATTTTTGAAAACGAAATTTGTATAACGAAACATTGTGCAGTTCGGGTTGCACATTTACATTTATTGTCATGTGACCAACAGGAGAAATTTTTTTTTTAAAACAGAATTTTTTTCGGCCTTTTATTTGTAACCCGAAATATTTTATATCTGTGATGTACGCCACTTTTTGATCTGATAAATATAATCGTAGAAACCTAGATGAAATGGAAGAAAGCGAGAATTATATTATCTAAGATCTAATGTAACGTAGAAATTACTTGTATGTAATATTTTTTGTTTGAAATACAAAAGTCAGATCACCCACAGTTTTATTTTTTTAGTGTTTTTGGCTGATTTAATCAGATTTATGTACTTTTTTGGAATTTTTGGTCCATCTCCCTCGCAGTAATATAATAAATCAATATCTAGAGATAACAAGCCACAAAAGATCATTTACATCTATTTTTGATCAAAATAATTTTATCGTCGCCATATAAACAGAATATTTCTTTCAAAGTTTGAGGAAAAAAAAAATTTCTTTCTCTTTCCTTTCTCACAAAATAATAAAAAATTCCCTTAATTTTCTTTAAAAAAGTAATTTCTATAAACTATGTCACCTTCTGGTAAATCGGAATCCGGGCTTGCTCGTTTATTAGGTTCAGGTACTTCAGGGATATTAGAATTATTTATATTTCACCCTGTCGATACGGTAGCCAAACGGTTAATGACCAATCCTACCAAGGTACGAAACTTTTTATCCCCCTTCACAAATATTGTTAAGCTAATAATTAATTATTTTCAATTATTAATTATTATAGATTTTTATATCAGGAGCGCCTTTATCTCAAGGCTTTAATAATCTTGATATAGTTATATTCAAGGTAAATAATTTATAAAATCTTATTAATTAAATTAGTTAATAAACTAATATTGATTTTATTCTTTTTTTTGATTAATATAGAACGCTGCTTCTGCATCAACATTGAAAAAATACACATCATTATTCCCTGGTTTAGGATATGCTGGGGGATATAAAGTCCTTCAACGTATTTATAAATATGGAGGTCAACCTTATGTAAAAGATTACATCAATACTTATTATAAAGGTACTTTTTATAGTATATTTGGTGAGAAAAGTGGTAAAACTATGATACACGCTACAGCTGGAAGGTAACTTTTCTTTAAAGTTTTTTTTCGCGTTTTTCGCGTTTTTTTTTTCTTTTTTTTTGGAGAATTAAAGTTTACCTTTAAACCTTCTTTTTAAGTTTAATCGGTATTGGTGAAGTAGCACTTCTTCCATTAGACGTTTTGAAAATTAAACGCCAAACTGCTCCTGAAACTTTAAAAGGACGTAACATCTTTAAAATCTTTTGGGACGAAGGTTTCGGACTTTACAGGTAAAATTTTAAGATACGATTATTTTAAAATCACTTTTCGTATTGAAACTAGCTAACATGTGATTGATATAAATCAGAGGTGGTCTTTGGACGGCAGCGCGTAATGCTCCTGGCAGTTTTGCTCTGGTAATTATGTTATTATTATTATTTATATTTATTAACACTTTATGTATCCATATGCTAAATTCTGTACTTCTTACAGTTTGGAGGATCTGCTGTCGTAAAAGAATATATATTTGGATTAAATGATTATTCCAATGCGACATTTTTCCAAAATTTCTGCGCTTCAATTGGTGGGGCTACTGCCTCAATTTCTGTGGCTCAACCACTTGATGTTGTAAAAACCCGTATTCAAAATAGACCTTTCGATGCACCCGAAGGAGGTGTACAAATTATTAAGAATATGATTAAAAAAGAAGGTAATTAAATTTATGCTTTGAATTAATTTTATTTTTTGTTTTTTGTTTATTTATTTAATTTATTTATTTTGTAGGTACTTCATCGTTCTTTAAGGGCATAACACCCAAGTTAATAGTAGTTGGACCTAAATTGGTGTTCTCATTCACCGTGGCTCAACAATTGATTCCTATATTAGATAAATTCTTTATATCTCAAGGAATCTCTAAATCGACTCAGTCTCTTCACTGAACATTCATTTGCTGTTAAAGGATTATAAATAGATATTACTATTCTAAGGATAACTAAAGTTTGTTCGTGAAGAAAGGAACAATTTTTTTTTTGATGAAAAGCGATAGGTGGTCATATAAAAAGAGTATAGTCGTTGATTGATAAAAATAAATTTGGCAAAAAAAAATCATTTCACATGCATAAAATTAGAAGGTTCATCAATATTTTGTATAATATAATAATTTTATCCTTTTGATAAATTTAAATAAGGATATATTTCATTTTCAATACAATAAAAAAAATTTTTTCAGATCTCTGTGTCCCAGAACTAACACGTGATACGATTTTTACACGTTAATATGTCATATGACCCATATATATTTGGTGTCATTTTTATTTTTAGATAACGATTTTTTTTTCTAGCGGAGATAAAGATGGCAACAAACCAAAATAATAGTCCTCTAAACAATAAAAATCCCGAACCACTCATATTATCTTACCTGGTTCATAAAGGATACAAACAGACCGAGGCAATGTTTAGACAGGAATCCACAAGAAACCATTCAATGGATCAAAATAATATAGAATTTCAAACACCTAATTATTTTAATTATTCTGATTATTCTAATTATTCTAATATCAACCCAGATATTTACAAACAAAGTTATTCTGGTTTAAAAGCTTGGATTGAAAAATCATTGGATAAGTTTAAGGTATCATGTCCGTTTAATTTGATTGATTACTCATTTAAATAAAATTACTAAAATGATAATGAATCAGGACGAACTACAAAGGGTTCTTTGGCCAATATTTGTAAATTCTTATCTTGAACTTGTATTAAAAGGATTTCCTGATCAAGGTTGGTGGTAATGATAAGATGCTTGTGGGATCATTTTGTTGGTTACTTTTCGTACCAACCATCCCCATGACATCTATAATCCATTAGCGACAGATTTCTTCAATGCTTATCAATCGGACCACGTTATTCACGTCAAAGAGCTTAATACAATGCGAGTGACAACACAACCGTATCATGTACAGGAGAATGAATTTGCTCAAAATTTTCGAACAAGGAAATATTTAGTAAAGATGTGTCAAACTTCGTTTGAAATATTTCTCGATTATTTGGAAAATAATAGTAACTTCTTGATAAGGCTCGTAAATCAATATCTACATATTGAAGGTGTGTGATATATGTAGATAATTCAAAAAAAAAAGTAGATTATTCATTCAAAAGAATTTATTTATTAACTTCATGTTTATAGCGAAAGCCGGAGGATTCGGAGCATCACATACAGATATTGGTGTCCCTAGTTATTCTACATATGAACTTGATGAATATAATAAACAAGAAGTTCATTTGGGGTATATGCCAATGGATCCAGAGTTTCGTGAAGAGTTAGAAAGAGAATTAAAAGAGCAAGATGGAATCCGTCAAAGACAAATCGAGGAAGCAAACCAGGTAAGGGAAATTGAAAATCAGGTAAATAATTATGTATAAAAAAAGACTACATGTTATTTTTTTCTTATTACTTCAAAAATTATAAAAACTTTGTCATAGATGAATGAAATGGAGCCAATTCCTTCGTTGCATCAAGAATTTTTGAATAAAATGAAAAGGGAACAAAGTACAGATGCCCCCGACAGGATGTCTATTCCGCTTCCATCATAGTATGTTTTGTTCAAAATTGATTACAATGAAACCTATTATAACACGTAAATGAATTTATTTATCTGACTTGAGAGACGTTTAGCAAGGGAGCTGACGTATTAGCACGCGTCGAAATGGTAAAAGACTTGACTCTACGAGCAGAATTGGATCCATCATCTACCCTCCCATCGATTTGTTTTTATACATTTTTTAATACTTACGATAGGTACATATTAACTTTTTAAGTTTGCCAATTTCGCAAGTTAAAAAAAAAAATACTTACCTTTCATTTTCTCTATATACTTTTATAGCTTGAATTGTTTATCCATATCCGAAGACACAACTCTTATCGCTGGGGGTTTTTCAGATTCATACGTTAAAATCTATAGTTTGAAACACGAAAAATTAAGAGGTTTACGTGGACTTATAAACCCAGCTGAAATGAAAACTGGTAACATACATTATTTTAGACCGAATATAATTTTTTCTTATAAATAAAAAAATTTATATATTGATTTATATAAATATTGATTAAATATGGAACTCGAATTTGTTTTTAACCTTATGTATTTATTTAAGTCAGCGACCTTGATAATGCAAAAGAACGAGTTGGTAGTGATTGTAAAAAACTTTTAGGACATTCCGGGCCTGTATTTGGATTAAGTTTCAGTCCTGATAATAGATATATTATTTCATGTTCGGAAGACAGGACCGGTAAAAAAAAAAAAAGTTTCCTTTTATTTTATTTCTATTACATGCATAGTTATGTAATTAACCAATTTTATATCGTTCCTTTATTTATTTATTTTTAAGCGCGACTTTGGAGTATAGACTCATATACTAATCTTGTGTGTTATAGAGGTCACAATTCCCCGGTATGGGACGTTGATTTTAGTCCCTTGGGATTTTATTTTGTAACAGCCTCACATGATAGAACTGCTAGGCTTTGGAGTTGCGATCATATTTATCCTTTAAGGATCTTTTCGGGACATATATCTGATGTTGATGTATGTAAATTATCAATCAAAGTGTTTTTTTTTTAACAAAAAAAAGGAACATCTATAATGTTAATTTCATTTATTCCACAAGACCGTTAAATTTCATCCCAACTCTAAATACGTCGTCACTGGATCAAGTGATAAATCAGCTCGTATGTGGGATATTCAAGGAGGTGGTTGCGTTCGATTATTCTCTGGTCATACCGGAGGGATTTCATGCTTATGTATATCTGATGATGGACGTCTAATGGCATCAGCAGGTAGCTTTTTACAATACAAAGATAATTGACAAATTTATCTTTTATTTATTTATTTATTTTCTCTAGGCGAGGACAAGTCTATAATGTTGTGGGATCTTGGAACTGGTAAACTTCTCAAAAAAATGTTGGGTCATAAATCAACTATATATTCATTAGATTTTAGCAAAGAAAGCAGTATTTTGGTATCAGGCAGTGCGGATGGTACCATTCGCATATGGGATGTAAAAAAAGGCATGTCGGATAATTTGAATGAAGATGAACATATTAAATCTAGAATGGATGTAGATGAAAATCGTTCACTGCTTACGAAGCATAAACTAATAACTGAAACTAAGTTAGTAAAACAATTCTTTCTTTTAATTATCATTTTTAATTTACAAAAAAAAAATCAATCATATATCTCCACATAATTTTAGGGATCTTATTAAGACATATCCAACAAAACAAACACCGATTTACAAAATTCAATTTAGCAGAACAAATGTATGTCTTGCAGCTGGAGCTTATATGCCAACCGAAGAAGAGCTAAAAGAATTAATGGGCAATAATGAACAAAAGAATACTTAAAATAACTTATTAGTTTGCATTTAATAATATAAACTTTGGGATGTTAGAACGCCATTAAAATCAAAAATATTTAATGAGATCGATTGGTGATACTACATTAATTAATAATTCGCCGTTCATTTAATTTAGTAAAATTCGAGCGTGCAATTGCGATTAGAAAGGCATATTTGGATTTTTTTTTTTTTTTTTAAATAATAAAAAAAACTGGACTTGGTCTTTTGATCAATCAATCAAATTGTTTAAATCAATTATTAATTTGTTTTTTAATAAGAATAATAATAATTATATAATTTATTCCTCCATTTCATCATCATTATTTTGTTGACTTTCTTTCCAATCATCCATATCAACCTTTTTCCTTTTTCTCATTCTACCGTCTCCTCCTTCAATGTCGGCAATAAATTCTCTACCAGCTTTCTCTCTTAATTCTTCAACATTTTTTTCAGTTTCAGCATATTCCAATATTAAATGTCTACCCAATAAATGAGTATCTCGTAAATTTTCCATAACATTTCTTGCATCCCGTTTGGTTAAAAACTCTATAAAGGCAAAACCACGTGATGAACGATCAAATTTTTTTGGTATTCGAAGTGATTTGATTTGCCCATAAGCACCAAATAATTCCCTTAACTCTTTTATTGTCGTTTCAAAGGCTACATTTTTAACTATAACTTTGGTAGACTCTTGTTTCTTTTTAGTAATTTCATCTTTTTTCTTTCTTTGTATAACTTCTCCACGATTTGAAAATTTCAGTTGTAACGCATGACCATCAAGTAAATAATTCTACCAATAAACAATTTCTAGATAAATATATTAAACAAAGCTACCCATAAGAAAATATAATAATTAAAACATACCTGCATAGCTTTCAAGGCATTCTTTGCATTTTTTATACTATCATATTCAACGAATCCAAATCCCATACTTAACTTCTTACCGGGATTTTTTTGATCATTCTTCATCTTTATTTTTGCAGATTTCATACCAGGCGTACTTTTGAATACATTTTTTAACCCTTCTTCTGTAGTTTCGAAACTAATATTTTTCACAAATAGAGTAGCAGTCACTTCGGAATCAACATCGACGTTATCATCATCTATATCAGGAGTAGGTTCAACAAGGTCGGCAGAAGATATTATTTTCTTTCCTTCTTGTTCAGATGATTCATCATTTTTAAAGATACCACTTGGCGCTTTTTCTAGATAAAGTGGAACTCCTTTAAACTTTTTATAAGCAAGATTTGTAAATGCGTTCCTGGCTTCGGTTGGATGTAAGAATTCTATTACAGCAAGAGTTTGGGCCGGTGGTATTAGTATCTAATTAAGAAGAACATGTTATCCATATATTCCCAAATAAAACGAGAAAGTATAATGAAGTTCTTATTTCTTTGTTTTTTATAAAAAAACTTACGCGACCGATTTCTCCGTACCATCCAAATAATTGTTGCAAGTCTTCATTGGTGGTACTGTATGGAATATTTTTTACCAGAATAACAGTATCGCTTTTCTCCTTTTTTCCAAAAGAATCTAAGCACATTCCATTCTAAATAAGAGTTAAAAAGTGTTGTAGTATATTATAGAAGACTGATATAATCAAAAGATTAAGTTTACCTCGGAAAGAAAGGCCTTCGTTTCTTGTATAATATGTGTTTCTGCAAGAGCAAGACGAGCGGACATATTGTCACTCTCGGGATCTAATATGTCCGATTTTTTAATTTTAAATCTATTTGCGATAGATTCAGCAATTGAATTGCTCTAAAATTAAATATCAAAGTAAGACATTGTTACAATTTTTTTAAAACAAAAGAAAATATCAAGTTAAAATGATACACACATTCATATATAAAGTACCCCAATTAAAGTCGCTTGTTGCCTGTGCTTTCAATTTCATCTCTTTTTGCTTTTTCAAACTCCATCTACTTTGATCAACATCGCGTGATATAGGTTTCTCCCAAGAAGGCAAAATATGTAATAATCTACCCATAAAAAATTTGTTATCAAGTTCCATATAAGCCATGACAGCATGCTCGGGAATATGATAAAGAATATAGGCAAAGCCTTTTTGTTTCTTAGTTTCTTTATCAAGCGGCATATGAACCTAGAAGTAATTAGACAAGTTAGAAAGATTGATTTTAATTAAAAAATATGAGTAAAGTTGAACACCTACTTCAGCGAGCGGTCCAAATTTGACAAATTCTTTCCGTAAATCTTCTTCTGTACAGATGTATGGTAGATTTCTAACAAATAAACGACCAGTTTCACCTATAGATTCTTCTGCTGGAACCTCGTCGGATTGATTACTATTATTCGCCTCTTTGTTGGGTAATATATCCTGCGTTTGTACTTCTTCACTATCCGTATGATAAGACTGTACGTCAATATTATCATTTTCCTCATCACTTTGACTACTTTCATTATCAGATGAAGAGTCATCAAGGCTCTAAATTATTTAAATTAAATTGTAAATATGTAATACAAGGTATCATGTTAATTTATTCTATTCTCTAACCTCTCCTTCATCTTCTAAGTCAAGTTTTCCTTTCATTCTTGATTTGAGCCAATCTGTATCTGATATCGAATTTATAGTCGTATCAACATCCTGCATTTCTTCATCTTCGCTCTCGCTACTTGAGGTTTCGGACATATAATTATTACTATTTGTAGATTTTACCACAACTTTTTTGCCTTTCTTTGGCAAATCTTGATAAAGTTCATCTTCATCTGATTCTTGAGTTTTTGCATTCTTTTTAATAGGATTGTTTTCGTTTTTTACTTTATAATTTTTCCAATGTGAATCTAAAATTGTCAAATCATCATTTGCCCAAGTTTTAGATTTTGATCTTGGTTGCATAACTTCCAAAAATTCTTGCAACTTTTCATTATGTTTATCTTCAACTTTAATTTTAGATTTTAAATCCTTTTGTTTTTGATCTCTAGTTACTTTGGAATTGCCATCTAATGATATATTATTAGGATTTTGTTGTCGGAATTGTTGATGGTTCATCTCATATTTTGAAGAGCCGACACTGTGCGCACTCCAAGGTCTAGAAAGTGATGAATCGTTCACCTATACAACGAGTAGATTAAAATTAGTATCGAATATTCATATCTAGATTACTGAGATTACTCACTCACAGGTTTAGCATGTTCAACCACGATCCTTGAAGTATGTATATAAGTATTATTAAAATACTTTAATGCCTCATTTGCTTCCCGTTCTGTACGATAACCAATAAAACCAAAATAACGAGATTTACCATCACTACAATTGAAAAAATTTAGGCATTAAGATTAAGAAATTAATCAAGTTAAGCATATATCGAATAAATTAGAAACCTTGTTTTCATTATCTTTGCATCAGTTACTTGACCTTTCGAAGAGAAATGCTCACGAAACTTATGATCATTTAAGTTTTTTGGTAAATTTTTTATTATTAGACGAGACCTATCAAATGCAAATTATTGTACATTAGTGAGATATAGCCAATAACGTGCAAATTCAAGCTTTTAACCATGTACGGTATCTTCAGGTATTAATAAAATTTTACATTTTGGTTTCGCGCTCTAATGATAAATTTTTTTTGGGTAGATCAAATATTTTTTTTTTTATCGATAATCTAAAATTAGACATAGCATATATATATGTATTACGTCATTCTTTATTAAAGACGCTTGTCTATATTCTGTGCCATTTTATGTCAGGTTCCCATTTATATATCACAATATGTCAACATCACCGTTATTTTCATTTTTATTACTTTTTGTGATGGAATCCTAATTGTCACACAAGCGTTCGGCCCTTGTATGTCACTTGAACGACCAAATTAAAAATTAAATCATAAGCTAAAATTATCGTATGCATTCCCAGTTGATATTGATATAAGCATAGGGCATCTTGAAGACGAAGACAACTTTTGCCAACGTTTAACGTTAAACAAGGAGGTCAACAGAAAAGTTTCAATGGGCAGCGGATATTTTCCTTCATAAGGTAGGAAAATCCTTTAAAGTGAGACCAAGCAGTGAGACCTATATGATAAGAGCAAATTATGTTCTTTCTAATTAAATTATTACACTTAAAATAAATCTTTTTGGTCTACTCTTCCTTGATAGGAAGATTAACGAATAGATCTTTATTTGTTTCATGTCATGTAAAAAAAAATTTTTTTCTCTTAAAGATCCGAACGATCTTATTTTCTCTGTGTTACGAATTATGGAATACAAAAAAAAAAAAAAAAAAAGAAAAACCGAAAATTTTAAACACAAAAAATCATAAAATATAAATAATTTTTTTTATCCGCATAAAATGAATTCAGAGTTATTAATAGTACTGAATTACTTTATTGCGGTATAAGGGGGTATCATTAAGGGTGAAAATAAAAATGAAAACAATCGTAATTTTTTTTTTTTAAAAAAATAATTGTATTTGCTGTGCCACACTAAAAATGCAACATTTGACGATTCTAAACAATTCGCTTAGGTATCAACATTTGATCTCTTTGTACTTGAGTACTTCTTTATTATTGAAGAAAAAAGGATGCGTGGAATGCGTGGTGACAAAAACGGAGAATTTGTTTCGAATCATAAATCTACAACTGAAACATGTACAATACAAACAAGGATTGTAGAACAAATTAAATAAGCACATCAAGATAAACAAAAAAGTAAATGAATAATATAATATCATAAAAAATATGACATTTATTATTATTATTTCTGCAGTTACATGTTAAATGTCACCGCTTATAGAACATATTTAGACATTATATTATCTTCCACATTCGGTTAAATGGTTAAATTAAATGAAATAATTTATATAAATTCAGACTGTTATGTATTTTCAAAAAAAAAACATTCCTACTTTCTTTTATTTTTTTTTTTTTTTGTTCAAAAAAGAACGAGAGAACTGGTTTTCTCTTCGTTTCTTTAATAGTATTCCCCATAATAAAATTATTAAAACTTTATAAAAAATTATAAAAAAAAAATGCACGTTAAAAATTTCTTTTTATCTTTTTTGATTTTGACAATTGAATTTACATATAATAATAATGTACAGGCTGGTATGGTTAAGTTAAAACATATTTGATAATTAAATCTTGATTTAATTAACTCACTTAAAATTTTTTTATAGCAAAGTTTATTCGAAACGAACAGACATTGTCATGTCTTGACCGTTCCTCCATTCCTTTCTCTAAATCATGTACGCGTGTAGACTTAACCCCATGCCCAACCGACAGATTTTCAAGATTTCCAGAATCATTGGAATGGAATTTAATTCCGATAAATTCCTCTTTAACGAATACTGAATTAATAATAAAATCAGATAAATTTTGTTTGAGTACTTTGTCCAATAGTAACAATATAGAAGCTTGTTCTTGTGACAATGGTACTAATCAAAAATGGACCTTGAATAGTGATGGAGTTTTAAGTAGTGTTGATTCCAGAAAATGTCTAGGTTTTGTAGGCGACAAAGTTGCCTTGGGCCCTTGTCAAGCTTGGAAGGTTTATCACGTTGCATCTAGTAAGTTTTTTTTAAATTGGACCTCGTTTTTAGTGAGTGTTAAGTCACGTGACTTAACTTCACATCCTCTTTTTTTTTAATAGATGCGGTAAATTTGTATATAAGTAAAGAATTTACCGGAAAACCAAACAAATTATTGGCTAATAACTACACTTCACAAACATTACCTGCCGAAATATTCCTATCGGAATTCTCTCTCGAGATTCCACCAGGATTCGAATTTATTGTTAATAAAAAGAATAATAAAGTCGAAAAATTCGAATCTGACATTGCGCAGATGCCACCCATCGATTCCCTCGATTCTATTATTATCAGATTAAAAGCTGGAATTATTATGTATGAAGAACCTGCGTATTTTGGTGCGAGTAAATTTATGAAAGCCGGACCTTTAGAATTACTCCCAACTATGAAAATTGGCTCCGCTTTGGTTTCTGAAGGTTTTCGTGGCGTTTTTTGGCCAAATTCAAACTTTACTGGGAATAACATCGGTTTATTTGAGTCCATTGCTAATTTTACCGGAGCTCCAGTAGATTCTAAACAACTCTCAATTGCCAGTTTAGACATCTCAGCCAGTAAGTATTTTTATCTAAGAAAATCACTTGCAAGTCATAAGATTCACATACAAATAATAATCCTTTTCTCAATTTAAAGCCGCATGCAAAAATGAATGTGGTTCTAGTGGTACTTGTTCATTTGAAGGTATTTGTACTTGCAAGCCAGGTTTCACTGGTGACAGATGCGAACAATGCTTATCCGGGTTCTTTGGACCAACTTGCCAAGAATGCAACGCAAAATGTAACAAATTTTGTGATGATGGATTGGCAGGAACCGGAGAATGCAAGTGCAAACTAGGATACACCGGCGAAAATTGCGATCAATGTGCTCCCGGTTTCTTTGGTAACAAATGTGAAGGTACATATATTTTTCTATATATTTACGATAACAATTCAATTCGTATTTATCATTTTATTATTGATATAGAATGCAAATGCGGTAATGGCACATGTGATGAACAAGGCACATGTTCTTGTAATGCTGGCTTTTCGTTGGACATAAGTAAGAAATGCGTGGATTGTGAAAGAGGATTTTATAAGTCCGGAAACGAGTGCAAGCTATGTTCTCCGAGCTGTGAAACATGCGAAGCTGAGACTGGCAAATGTCAATGTTTACCAACTTTTAAGTCAACTGATGATTTGACGTGCGTTTCAAATCTGAATTGTTTACCAACGGAATTTTTCGATACAGCTACTCAAACGTGTGTTCCGTGTGATCCTAGCTGTGAAACATGTTTTGGATCCGGAGCTGGAGAGTGTCTAGAATGCAAATCATTAACGGTTTATATTGAAGGTACCTGTATCCCCATATCACAATTTACCGATGGTAAATGTTCACCTTCTGCAGCATTTATTGTAGATAATGCCAAACAATCCTGTGAACCTTGTCCGAGTTCGTGCTTTGATTGTTCTATACCAGGCTTCAATGCTTCTAGTACTATTGAAGATTTGCAATGCACCAGATGCATGCCGGGATTTTTCCTTGAGAGTGGTGAATGTGTGGAATTTTGTCCTGAAAACAAATTTGCTGACAAAACCGATTTAATTTGTAAAGGTAAGAATTTAAAAAAAATCAAATTATGAAATATGTTCTTACTCAATATGAATGATTCATTAATATTTAATTTTATTATATATTAGAATGCAATTCCAATTGTGCTAGTTGTAAGGGTCCGGAAGAAAATAAATGTATTACGTGCTCGAATAAAGAATTATTTGTTTTGAATGGAGTGTGCTCACCCAAATGTCCCTCAGGATATATAGTACTTAACTCAACCTGTACAAAGTGTCATCCTGATTGTACAGAATGCTCGGGTCCAGAGATAAATCAATGCACTAAATGTCCACCTAATCGTCCGATTATAAAAGATGGACAATGTGTAGAAGTTTGTCCGATGGGAACTTACGCTGATGAGAGTGGATGTAATAAATGTAATGAAGATTGTTCTTCTTGCGTTGGACCAAGTCCTGATCAATGTCTTGGATGTAATGACCAATCTAAAGTTTTGCTTGGAGGTTCATGTAGTGGATCATGTCCATCTGGAAGTGAATTAATTAAAAGTGAAAGACTCTGTCAAAATTTGGTCACTGAAGAGATACTTCCGCCCGAGAAAACGAAGGAAGAACAAAAACAAGAATATTTCTTTAATAAAACTAAAGGAATCGAATGGTGGCACATTCTTTTAATTGTTCTTGGATCTATTTTGTTCTTGATAATAGGTGTTTTATTATTAAGATGTGTTGCCGTAAAAAGAAGACAAAAAAAAACCAAGGAATTTGGCGAACAATTTGATGACAATGTAGTGAGTAAAAATTTGAAGAAGATGCTGCGTAATGCACGTGAGGTACCCTCTCAACCGGAAATGTCTCACGATCCGAAATCTGCATTGAAACCTCATGAAATTGAGGACCCATTAAATCAAAAGGCCGCTGAAAGGCATCAAAAAACTATGTCTATCACTACTGATGATTATAATAAATGGAAAAATTCAAAGAGTGCTAAAGACTGGGAAAGAATTATTAAAAATGCAAATACGGAAGGATATAGATATAATTCTGGTAATTCTAGTTATAGGAATAGCAAAAGGTCTACAAGATCAACAAATTCTATTAGCACTAAAAGGTCCTACGCTCTTCCGCCCGATGATAATTGGCTTTAAAGAACATTTTTTTTTATATTTCAAAAAAAAAAAAAAATTATTAATAATAATAATTAAAAAAATTAATATTTAAATATTTAAAATTAGACTAAATAAATTAATTTGGTTGGGTTGGTCGGAATGTCAAAACACTGATTTATGTATATAATTATTTGTCTTAAATAAAGAAATTGTTCGTGTTTAATAATTAATGTGTGTATACAGTATACAACAATTATCGATTAAATAATACATCAACTTCGAAAGTTTTCATTAAATCATTGGATAAAAGATATTTTTCGAAAATGTCCGTATAATCATAAAAAATTTCTTATTTTTTTGAATTAAAAAAATCATTTCGTGTTCGTTTTACAAGTTATAATTGATATTTTATTTATGAAATTGGTTTACCAAGTTTTCTAAAGTAAGGAAATCAATTACATATAGTTTTAATGATCTATACGAATGTAGATCATTATTTTTACGTACTTGCGTCACCAAATTAATTACCTGATAATCCATGTATTTAGGCAACTCGAGTGGGATGTACCGGTTCTAATTCAACAATTCTAATCTCAAGCTCATTTTTTTTCTTTTGCGATTTTATCAAAGTTCTATGGTTCTAACCATTCTAATGTCAAAAATAAATAAATAAATTCGATTACAAAATTACGTAAACTACTGCATTGTTTTATTAAAAAGCGTGCTACTTGCTTAGCCTTGATTTGTAAAGATCTGATATTTTACCTAACCGGAATTCGGTTTTCGGTTAGCTTGATATACAAATATGATATAACTTATCATTGTATAATATTTTATTTTTACGTAATATAATTTTAACTTTATGCATCGTTAATATGATCGCATCACTAAAATGCACTCCTTAATTAGCAATAATAAAAATTTAAGCTACCCATATAAAGATCTCAAGGGGAGTTTGTTTTTTATAATCTTTTTCGTAAAGCTTTATGCTTGATGCTTCATGCTTCAAAAAGAATTTTGCCCAATTAAAAAAAAAATAAAGATAACAATCAGCTTAATACGAACAGTTGTTCAATATATGAGAAAAAAAATAGTCTAATTATGCCATACGCAACATAAAAAAAAGATTTCGCACAAGTGGCGTTTTTAACATTTTCTCATTATGAAAATCAGTAATAACAAAGTAAACAACTAATTAATTGAATATCCAGATAATCATAAATAGTAACATAAACAAAAGAAACAGGCGGTGGCGCCTATACCCCATAGTTGGAAATTCCCATTATTCAAATCACCAGGAAAAAAAAATTCGTTTTCACATTTAGCTATTTATGATTTACTATGTACAGTATGTCTCGTAATTCAATTTTAATAGCAAACGGGACCAATCTTCGGCAAAAAAATGAAATTAAAAAATTCCAACTTTTAATTCATAAATTTAATATCTCAACATCAAATATGATCTTTATATCAATAATAAAGGGTAGGGTGTACCACAAATATTTTCTAAATATTTTCGATGTAAATCAAAAATTATTGGATTAAAATATAAATGGGGCGGAAGACTATCGAATTCGAATTCATTCTGCCCTATAAAAAAATTTTGATCCGTGTTTTGTTTTCCATGTTTTTCCCGTGAAGGGCTCATTTTCACGGAATTTATAATCTTAAAATCATGGAAACTTTCATCTAATATACATGGATTCCGCGAAAGGCTCGAATTTTTACAGAAGCCATGGAGAATATTAAGGCAAAATTTTTATAGGGATGTTAGTCGAATGTTTCTTTGGCTAATTTGCGGACTGTCATACATGTTACTTTTTATCGGATGTAGAGTTTCATTTCCGAAAGCCGGTTTTAAAATTTTTTTTCAAAGATCCGAACCGGTTTAATTTGATTGCAGACGATAAACGGTTCGTTTCAGGTACCCAGCCCGAATTGAATTTCAATTACTAAATCTTCAATATTTTTTATAGGGGAAATATCTCATTTTTTTTGCATTATTATATAAATTTTGAACTAATTTCTCGGCTTTACCATTAATAGTAATTAATATAAGATATATAATCGGTTTCCGTTCGTTTTTTCATAACAACCGGTTCTTTCAACCGGTTTCAATACAACCGGTTTGCGTTGCTCTAAAATTTGTACCCGGATTGTTAGAATCGAATTTATAACCTGTTCTCCAATCTCTAATCGAGTGATTTCCAGCCCACCATTAAAAAAAAGCTTTAATGTTAAAACGAAGTGAAACTTATTTTATTACAATAAATAGGATACGATTTTCTTCTCATCATGAATTTACAATTCATTCATCTGAAAAGTGTAAACGTAATTAGTTTACTGTGCCATTAAACCTTCTAGATATCATGTCACAATCTCAAGTAAGCGAAATTATTAACAAACCGACGGAAGAAACAAATTCATTTACAATCACTATAATCGAATTTCTCATGACTAAAACTACTCTCACACCTGGGACTGAAAATACTGAAATCGATAATAAGAATAAGAATTGCAATAATAATAATGAAAAAAATGAAGGATCAAATCAAGAAGTGATAAATATGAATAATGAGGTCGATTTCTCAGATAATGTGAAAAATCCTCTTCCAACATTTGAATTCGTCATGGTGTTTGTTGGGTAATTTATTTTTATTATTAGTGTTATTTGGACCGATGTTAATTGGTCGTAACTGAGTTTATGATTTTAAATTACATATCAAGGCTTACATTTGGTATTTTCTTGGCCGCATTGGATCAAACTATCGTTGCTACTACTTTATCAGCAATCGCTGTTGAATTCTCGGTGCTCGATCAAATTGAGTGGGTCGGAACTGCATATTTGCTTACTGCGGTAAGAAATGAGAGATTCCCATCATGTAAATAATTTTCGTATCTCGGAAAACTCTAACGCTTTTACTTATTCTAAAAGACTGCATCTCAACCCACGTACGGAAAATTCGCGGACATTTTTGGTAGAAAAATGACTTTTTTAATGGCGATTTTCTTATTTGAAATTGGGTCACTTATTTGTGGACTTGCACCAAACATGGTAATTAATCTTATTGATATTTATTTTTAAATTAATTATTGACTCTTGCTCAACAGGTGACTCTAATCATCGCACGTGCTATTTCTGGAGTAGGAGGCGGCGGTATCTTTGGGTAATGACACAAATCATTATATTCCCATGATTGCTTTCCCAATATTTAACTGACCCTTTTTTTCTCGAATTAGGTTGGTTTTTATTATTATTGCCGATATAGTTTCATTGCGAGACCGTGGAAAATATCAAGGGATGATTAGTGGTGTTTTTGCATTTGCTTCGATCGTTGGACCATTTCTTGGAGGCGCGTTTACCGAGTAGGTCTTTCGATTTGATTATCATTTATTTAACTAATTTATTCATGCGTAAATATATGTAATACTTCTTGATTGATCTTTAGTTCGATAACTTGGAGGTAATTATTATACATACGAAAAAGTAAATTATATTTGATTTTTACGAAATATCTCTAATTCTCGGTGTACCTTACTTAGGTGGGCATTTTATATAAATCTTCCATTCGGTGCCGTGACTGTTACTTGTGTGGTATTTTTCCTCCATTTGCCACATCCATCAGGATCAATCCTAGAAAAAATAAAAAGAATAGATTGGTGGGGAACAATAGTTCTAGTTGGCTCAACGGTAGCAATATTATTGCCGTTGGGTTGGGGAGGAAGTAAATATGAATGGAATTCATCACTCATTATAGTTTTATTGTGCGTTGGAGTTCTAGGGTTTATTGCATTCGCGTTCGTGGAAAGACATATTGCAGTTGAACCAATCGCTCCTGGTAGGTTAAAAAATAAACTCGGAGTTGATTGATTATCTCTGAAAGGTATCTTTATAATAATAATAATAATATATATATATATATATATTGCCGTTAGGACGATTGTTTAAGAATATTACGGTCGCGGCGTGTTTCGGAGTAAATTTTTTCCAGGGAATGGCATTCTATGGATTGATTTATTTTATTCCTTTATTCTTCAAATTTGTAAGAGGCGTTTCAGGTAATTTAAATGTTCAAAATGAAAATTTTTTTGATTATTAAATTTCAACTTTACCTACCGTATTGGTTCCTTACGTATAAATTTTCAAATTTTCCATTTTATATAGCTACACAAGCAGGACTAGAATTATTACCATTTATTTTAGGAGTTGACTTTGCATCAATAGTTGCTGGACAATTAGTATCACGTACAAATAAGATTTCATATAAAATAATATGTATCGTAGGTGGTATATTAATTATGATTGGAGCTGGATTGACGAGTATTTTTAACGAGTATAGCTCGAGAGCGGAATTCGTCGGATATTTGTTAATTGGAGGCATTGGCATAGGTGAGCTTTGTGAAGAGGTATTTAAAATAAGGATTCGAATTTCTAATTACCAATTTTGATAAAATTTACATAGGCTGTATAATGCACATCACCCTTTTAGCTTCACAGCAAGTTGTGGGTTATAGAGACATCGCTAGCGTTACTTCTTTACTTTCTTTCTTTAGGACAAGTAAGTTCATAAATGATGTATTCGAGGTAAGGATTTGATGTACTAAATCTACCGTTATTATTATATCTTATAGTTGGAGCGGTATTTGGCTTAGCTATTCTTGCTACAACTTTCGACAACGAATTAAATAGAAATTTGCCAAAAGAATTCCAGAAAGCTGTTGGAGTTTATAAAGTGTTTGGAGAAGATTTAAAGCATATGCCCGAAAGTGATAGAAAAATTATTAAGCATGCATTTGTGTTATCATTGAGTCCCGCATTTAAAGTTATAATTGTGATGGGAGCATTGGCCACGATTTCTGCATTATGTATGAAGAATGTTAAGCCTAAGATAAAGTAAATCGATATAGTATTTTGTATAAATAGCTGCAAAGTTGTACTTTATAAATAAAATTAATTGTAAAAATTGACATGTTGAGAATAGAATGAATTTAAGATTACAAATATTTATTTAATTTCTTATTTTTTCTTTCTTCTCTTTTATGCTTTCTTTGAACAACTGCTTCATTGTCTGATAATTCTGCATTTCCATCATCTTTATCATTAATTATCAGAGAAAGATAAAGATGCGTGATGACGTGATGATGTTGAACCAGAGTCATATTTATTAGTTTGGAGCGAAGTGAAGTATGTATATTTAATCAAAAATTAATTAATGAATTGATTAAAACCGGCACATTTACAATTTATTATTTTAAACTATAATTTGATTAAATATCAACCAATAATATTTACCTTTGGATTTTGACTGCGCTCCGACAATCAATCTATATCAGACTGATTGATATATCAAAGTAACCATTTTTGACATCAGTAGGATAGAATTAGAAATATTTTTTTCTCTTAAGGACTATTACAAAGGCAGTAATAAATGATTTTTATTTGTATTTCTTATATAAACTATTCTTTTTCATCCTTTTTAAATTCAATTTCTAATTGATCCAAATTTCGTTACATCGTAAATCGTTTTGAATAAATAATATAGGGCCTTTGCAATAGAAGGGGAAAGCTACCAAACAATAAAATCTAAAAAGACAATGATTGTCATCATTGTGATTTTTGTGAGTATCTTCCCCCCTTTCTATTGCAAAGGTCCATATTTACTTTACGAGCAATATCCAATTATATTGCTAAACAAATGAGAGATTTATCAGAGTATCTCTCCTTCTCTCGTTTGTTTATTTGCTTATATTCAATAATATTTGCACTTTCACAACAAACTATTGAAAAGCTTAAATATACCTTCAGATAATTGGTTACGACGATATACATATTGGGGAAATCCCTTAACTTGGGTAGAAAATTATCGCAGGAAAAATACCATCGATGAATGTTACAATTCTTTGGGCGAAGATATGGCTTACTTTTACGGGTTTTTCATAAAGATAGTAATGAAAGACGGAAATTGGTAAAATTTCGGAATAAGTTGAAAGAGGTCAGTGTTCTTTGTGCAGACTGGTAGAATTATAGAACCGGAAGCACACCGTGGCCACAGTTTGCGAAAGCTTCTAGTCAGGTAACCAGACCTGACGTACGGAGGGCGGCCTACTGTGAACGTCCTTCTATATATTTTACCATTCTTATCTTAGAATGAGCACACTCTGTTATGATTACTCGGCAGAACCCCATGCGGACCCGACTTTCGCCGGCAAGTCTCTCCCTTGGGCTGAGATGGGGTGCATCCACAAAGATTGTCGCGTGCTACCATTCGTTATAGACACGAGCCATCTTTTGCCTCTTCTCACTAGCAGTTACTTTGCCAATTAGCCACTGCGTGCTGTTGGTAGGGTATGTGTGTTTCATGACATGACTCATTATTCTGTATACTGATTTCTTTTCCATCATATAATTTTATAGATTAAGGAGCGAGAAATTAAACCTGTGAAGCGCGCACCCAAGCACAGATGATGAAATTGCAGACGATGAATATGTGATTGGCACAGATGATAATGAATATTTTTGATTTAAACCATAGTCAGAATCGTAAGCAAAAAAGAAGTCATGTAACCCATCCACTAAAAAGTCTGGCGACTTACATACGTTGAGACTTTCATCTTATTATAAAAAAAGATCTGCCGAATTTGAAAAAGGTGGTCAAAAATGGAATCGAACTGGAAAAAGGTTTTAATTTTTTATTTGTTTTTAGTTGGTTTACTATAACGCCTTGTAAGAAACTTTAAACATATTCTATAATATTTCATTTAACTAATTATACTAATACTTGTAATTGTTAGTATATTGTGTCTTCAGACACCATTCAACCCTTTATGTGATCCGGATGCATCTGAATATATGGGACCTTTGCAATAGAAACTACCGGGAAAAATAAATAATGAGTTAATGCTAAATTTGAACATATTTTAGCCTAAAAATCATTTTTTGGCATAAAAAAGTAAAAATTGATTTTCCCGGCAGTTTCCCCCTTTTCTATCGCAAAGGTCTCATATGTATAGAAGCCGGATCATAAATCATATTTGGGAAGGACTTTTCTTTGACGTCAACTGTATAACCACGATAAAAACGTAAGTAATTCCATTTTAGTTTTGTTGACTTTCTAAAACTGGTCTTATATTTAATGTATTTACCTTTAATCAGCGGTGAAGTCGAAAATATGCATCGAAAAAACTATCAAAGTTGGAAGCAAGTTTGTTCAAGTAGCATTTGGAGAGGTAATTGGAAATGCTGTCAAACGTGATGGCAAGAAATATAATGATGATAAAGAAAAAATGCTTAAAGGTAAAAATCATAAGCCATGAAAATCACTAATATGATTATTTTTATCTATAGCCATGCAATTGGCTCTTTTAACCTTCGAAAATCATGAACTGAATAGGCTCCAGGTCTCGAAGATTTGAATTACTCGTATATAGTATGTGATAATCTAGCTTATTAAATTTTTTTAATGTTTATTAATCTCAAATATATTTTAATAATTATAGGAAAAGAATTTTTATGTATTCGATGCATTGGGTTGATGGGATATCTCATTGATCAATTTAATAGATTTACGATTTCTGATACATCACCAGATCTAGAGAATATATCCGATATCAAATAATGATCGAATTTAAGGTTACAAATCTTATTATTTGATTCGATTAATACTTTTAAAGTAATTTTAACGTACTTTTATTATCTCATTAGAACCGTATCATGAAATTGCAGGCCCATATGGAATTTTAGTATAAATCGAACAAAAATTTATACGTGGTAGATCTCAACATAAAAATGATTTTATTGTCTATGCATCGCCATTAAAGGCTAACCAAAAACAATATAAATTGACAGGCAAATTTCACTTTTTTATGCACAGGTATTACTGATTTTATTCTAAACCGGATTATAGTTAATAATAAAGTCATAGTACTGTATATTCGATTTTAGGTATAATTACTTGGCATAAATCATATTTCATAGAATTTTTGACACATTAAAATAATTTTAATTGTGATCACTTAATAATCTCGGTATTTGTAATTTTATTATACAAATGAAGCAAATTTTCTTTCCTCCTCCCTAATTTCAGATATCTGTGGATTTTCGGTGGTTAATTCCTTGATTTCAATATCTATTTTTAACGTGATTTATCATTAGAGATAATTTTATAAGGCTTTTTGCAAGGATATTTTTTCCAAAAAGTCATACTTGTTTTCAACATCCAAACTTACAACATCCTCGATATCATCTTCACCTTTCGCATCACTCATTTCTTCGTTTTCTTCAGAAATATTGTTTATCTATTCACTTAACTAAATAGACAATCATTTTGCGCATATCATTTTTTTCTTGATCAGGTGATTATCGATGAAAGTACTTAAGATAGTTCAGATATTTTTCGTTCCCTTAGATTGTAGGGTTTCGCAGGCAAATTTGCCTGCTAGACAATCTAAGGGATAAGGATTATGATTCGATTACCATAATTTAGAAAAAGATATATATTAGGTTACATAAGCATAAGGCTTTCCTTGATACAATCCCTATGAAACAGGTGTCTGCACGACAATGCTGTGAATAGTTCAAAACGAAGTGAGAGTATTTCTTTATCACATTCTGAGCATTTATCTAATTCTGTGAAATCTATATCTCTAACAATATCGTCATTAAGATTTTTTAAGATATTATACGCAAAGGTTTAAAGACCGGAGAAAGACATAGTATGCATACAGATAAGTTTACTAACAAATTTCCTTATACTTTAGCTCATTTATATATATTCCCTTCTTTTGATCCAGCCATTTAAATTCATTTAAAAGCAGAAACTATCTATTTATGTGTAAGTTTTTTTTCAAAGAAATGCATGATTCACCCTCATAGGAGGACATTCATATGATTGGTCAGATAGGTTACACAAATTTTACTATAATTTTTATATATAATCACATGAC